CATTTTTGAAATTTTCTCTCGCTGTCATTTCATTTGTTTGTTTTTATTTTCACTCAAACCAAACAAATATATTTCTGTCCAAACAAAAAAGTTTGAATGTGCATACATATATATGTATGTATGTAAATAAATAAATGTAAGCAATTGTAGCAAATTCTGCCCTCATGTTAAATCGAAGATTTTGGCGTACATTTAAAGATATTGTACCTTAAAGGCACTGTACTTTTCCAAAGAACCATCTTGTGCTTATATTAAGTCAAGTGATGTGGCAAACAATTAGCCGAGCATGCATAGGGGCAATTTGGCAAATACCTTTTCATAACACCACAATCCTCAGTCCATTTTTTTCTTTATATGGTAATTACGGGAACTTAAAAAGCTTCATATTGCTTTGCTTGCAGAGGACAGCGGAATTTTCGCAGCCGTTAAAGCAGCAACTCATTTTTCTTCTCTAAATTTATAAGTTTTCCTATATTTTAATACAAAAAAATTTCAAATCATAAAATTTCCATATGTTTATTTCGAATTTATTTTACATTTGAATCATTTCGAGAGAGAAAACTCAAAATGCTAGCAAACGTCAAAAATAAAACCCAATGGCGGACGAATTGAGCGAGCGGTTTTACCTTTAAATATTTGTATCATGGGTAAAACCATGATAAAAATATAGTAAGGTAGAACCGCTGAGAGTCGCTTTTAAAATTCTTGACGTTTCCAAACAATTTAATTTTTAAATTTACTCACAAACTCACACACACATTTTCATTTTCAATCTCAAGCAACAACAATTTCGAACAATTTCATTTTTTTATTTTCACTTTTATATGATTTTAAAATGTTGGCAAACTTCAAAAAAAAATCATGGCCGACAAATTGAGAGAACGGTTCTACCTTGCTATGTTTTTATCATGGGTAAATCCATGATACAAAAATAGAAGGTAGTTTCATTTATTGACATTCGTTGTTGTTGCCGACCACTTGACTTTTAACAAGTTTATGACATTTGAAGAAAATCATGCTACCAGATTTACTAGCGGCAAAATTTTTGTTTATTGAAAAAGTAAAAAAAAAATTAAGTTAGTGACGCTGGATGATAATATTAAAAGAAAATTCTTGCGCGTTTCCAACCTGCAAGAACCCGGTACACCTGCGCATAGGTTCGAAAATAAAGTTTTTTGATTTTCCGAGGATATCGTACGTAATACGATCTAATGCAGTTTGATGAAAAATAGCTGAAATAAAATATTTTTAAACCTCTAAACGATGTACGGTTACCCGTAGAAGAGGGAGGAGGTCGAGTTAAAATGATGCTCTGTCACTTGTAACAGTACCAATTTTTGGATTCTCATAATTTTCCGATAAAGATATGGCGCTGATAAAAAATATATTTGTGACAAGAATTATCCACATAAAATGAAAACTACTGCGGTTTAATTTTATAAAATTTTTGTTTATAGCAAAATGCATTGTGGTTGTTGTTGTGTAGCAGCATACAAGTTCATAAGACAGTTCGGGTACGGTTCGGTTATTTATACAATGATTTTGGGTTATCGTGTCCAAACACGTCACCCGAATCAAAAAAACATATTCACCTAGTCAAAGGATAAAGCTTAAATATAAAAAAGGTTGCGGTTTTAAATATGCACTTTTCTGTAAATTTGGAAGTGGATTTTGCGAAAAATACTGTGGATGGCGTAACCGCATTTGGACTGATGAGGCAATTCTTTCTAGCGCGGCCGAAGACCACCAACGGGAAAGGAGTTTTGCGCAAAAATACTGCTGATGGCCTAACACGAGTTTAATTTTTCTTTGCGAAAATGCTAATTTTACCCCATTTTGAAATGGGCATCCGAGTGCCTGTAGAAGGGGCAGGGCTTGCGAAGGATGACTTTTCTTAAAATTTATACTGTGCTCTTTCTAATTAGTTTTAGGTGACATAACCCTTCCCCCTCCTCTCCTCACTAAAAAATCATTGTGCGAATAACCGAACATTTCCCACGCACAACATTACATCCTCTGATGTATTGTTTGATTGATATCAATGTGGCAAGGTAGCTCATTATTTTGTACAATGTATGAAACTTCAAAAACTTATTTTTTGTCAAAAATTTTGAAATGAAACTACCTTCTTTTTGTATCATGGGTAAAACCGCTCGCTCAATTCGTCCGCCATTGGGTTTTTTTTGACGTTTGCTAGCATTTTGAGTTTACTCTCTCGAAATAATTCAAATGTCAAATAAATTCAAAATAAACAAATGAAAATTTATAATTTGAAAATTTATTTATTTAAATGTGGGAAGAACTTAAAGTTTTATAGAAGGAAAATGAGATGCTGCTTTAGCGGCTGCGCTTATACCGTTTTTACCTGCAAGCAAAGCAGTATAAAGTTCTTTCAAGCTCCCGCAACTACCGTGTGTACGCAAAACTTGATCGAGGTTGGTGGTTTTTTTCCAAGTGCCTATGTACGCTAGGCTCATTTTTTGCAACACCACTTGACCCAAGATAGTTCTTAGGAAAAGTGCAGTAACTTCAATGTTAAATTTGTTTAAGTGTATGCCAAAATCTTCGCCTTAGCATGTGGACAGAAATTCATTACACAATTGCTAATATTTATTTATTTACATATGTACATACATAAATACATATGAAATCTTGATTCAAAAATGCTAGCAAACGTCAAAATTCCCAAAGCTGGCTCTCAGCTATTGTACCTTATAAATATTTTTATCACGACAAAAAGTACGGGAACAAAAAATCCATTTTTCCTATAAAAACGTCAACCAGTGATTGCTTGACACTTTTCATGATTTTAGCTCTGATCCAGTACTCCATGAACTTACAGGATTTTACACGAACTTGCAGGATGTTGCAGGAAAAATGTTCCCGTACTCCAAAATCCTGTAAATGAGAGTGACTTGGAGAGTTGTGTAGAGAATGAAGTTGCAAGATTTTACCAAGCAAGTGTCAAGCAATCACTGGTTGACTTTTTTACAGGAAAAATGGATTTTTTTTCCCGTACTTTTTGGTGTTACTCACTTTTTACTCTCACTTCAGAGAGTAATCTTGCTGTTTGACAGTTTTACAGGATTTTTCACGAAAAGTATTGGAGCTTTTACCAGAAGAAAAAGTTCGGGTAAAATCTTGCAACTTCATTCTCTGCACAACTCTCCAAAAGTCACTCTCATTTACAGTATTTTGTAGTACGGGAACATTTTTCCTGCAACTTCCTGCAATTTCGTGTAAAATCCTGTAAGTTCATGGAGTACTGGATCAGAGCTTATGTTTGTATGTACCCTGTATTTTCGATTGTTCTGTGTGTCAAATCATTCACTCTTGATTTGTTAACACCGTCAAGAATGATAGAATACAAGATTGCACCGATTGCAGCAGAATTCGTGAGAGTAATTTTGGCGTGACGTCACCGTAGAATTGACAACTGAAAGCGGCAAATAAAACTGCTGTCTAGTGATGCGCTGAATTGTCGGTACCCAATACTTAAAAAGGTTTCGGTACCCAATACTTCCTTTTCGGTACCCGATACTGATTCTTTACATGAAACCTTCGCCATTATATACATTTCAAGTTTAGAAAAAACTTTCATTATAAATTTATATGATATCGGCTAAAACACGAACTTATCGCAACAGAGAAATATTTTATTTTATCAGTTTTAACCCTAGTCGATCCAAGATTCAAGAGAAATGCTTTGACGGATGAAGAAGCATTTTAAGGGGGAGATTCTGTAACAAGTTAGCGACAAGTTTCGGATCGATATCGCACTTGTTGACTTAAAAATATTTCACATCATACATCAACAAAACCGATACCGATTCGAAAATTGTCGCTAACTGGTTACAGAATCTGTCGCCAACTGGTTACAGAATCTGCCAACAAAAATTATATCTTCCGATTCAGCTGGAACAAAAGTGCTTCAAACAAGTAAGAGTTTCTCTGTATTATAGCCTCGAACCGACATACATACATCTTTCATTTGAATCAGTATTAAAAGCTCTATTGGCTCCTACATTCGGGTTTTGATAGGCGAGTCTCCCCTGAACCGTTTTTTCCATATTTTTGGCCTATGTGCGCTTTTATTCGAAACCTAAATGTTTCGGTACCGAGTATCGAGAGTATTGGATACTTAAAAGTATTGACTCAGCACATCACTACTGCTGTCAACTCCACCGTGACGTCAGCAAAACAGCTAATTCCGTCGAATTCACTGAGAGCCGATTAGCGGCATTGCCATCGGCGGCACCTTCTGAATTCTCCCTACCGTGGGTTTAAAGCTGAAATTAGTCAAGAACGTAAACCTACCGGTACGTAAACCCGAGTCAGCTGACACGATCTGTCTTACCAAAGCGCCATATAAATGAAAACTGAACACCGCAGAATTTTTCTGTAGTTGTAGCCCGTAGCGCAGAAATCTGCGGAATTTAGATTTTTCCGTGTCAGCTGATTTCTCCTTCTTTAGATGGTTGCCACTTCGTCAGTTTTGCAGATGGTAAAAAAGTTATAAGTTCCTATTCGAAATATGTTTAAAATATTTGAAATTTACTATTAAATAAGGTTTTTGTTGAAAACTAAGTAGTTTATATTTAGTTACAATCTATTATAGC